ACAACTAAAAGGCTTTCCCAATAATATGAATTTACCCTGATAAAAAAGCAGTTGATGATAAATCATTCTTTGAAACTTCAATATTCCATGGCACTGAAGATACACCAGATGGTGTTTGTATATCATCAACAGATAAAGTATGGGATAGCTTTTCTTTTATATCAGTTTCATCAGGTTGTACTGATATTTGAATGTATGGAGGCTCAGAACTTTGACCAGAACTATAACGAACAACATGAGTCTCAGTGATCTATAGCAGAATATTGGTAAAAAATTTTAACCATGCACAAGTGTATATCTTACCTCCGTATTACATCCAGTGAATCTCCATCCTTCGATATTCCTTTTAGGAATATTTGTCACTTTTAGACAATTGTTTTTGTCCTTAGAAAAAGTAAAGGGAAATGTTCTTCGTAGCTCACCCAGGAGGGACAGAGCAACAGGATCATCTTTAAAAGGCTGCAGAAAAGATCAATTTATTATACACACATAAGAACTGACACACCTCTTTAAAGGCAGGTAAATCTGGCAGGACAGCCAGACTCACTATTACTTCATTAGTCCAATACTTCTTATAAAACAGACCACGACAATGAAAAGAAGGTGGAACAGGAGGAGTAACTAAAAATAAGGTAGAAATTAAAATTAAACAATAAATAGATATATGGTACTAACCATTTTTGAAAGCATTGAATGCTAAATTTCCTATTTTTGCTACTCCAACAGCTGCTGCTCCAACAGTTGCTACTCCTACTGCAGCACCTGATCCAGCCACAATGCCAGCAACACCAGCACTCACAACAATCACAATTGCAATTAGGGAAAAACTCTTCAATTCTATGCTACCAGTTTGAGAATCAGGTGAGAATGATCCTCCTGGTAGCAACTCAAACTTAAAAGGGCCGGACTGTTTACCAGGTTGAACCTCAGCTACTACAAAGCTCAGATACTGACTCTGAAATTGAGAGGTCAAATGAGCACAATGTACTAGCTGTACAGTGACTGGTTTATCCAGTTGAGCAGCATTAGGAGACACAGATATGTAACACACACTACTGATGAGATGTGTGCCTGCAGGGAACTCAAAATCTCCTCCCCATAAACCTTGAGCAGCAGCTTCATAGACAGTGCTATCCACTGGAGATAAGAGTCCATCAGGTAGAGAGAGGGTAAGACCACATTCATCCAACTGTAACTCATGACTACTGTTAGCATTATACAGACACACCTTCTTACCCAATGTTACCATACCATCAAATGGTAATTCTATACAATAACAGTTTATTAACAATAAAGGAATAAAATCAACTAACCTGCTTTAGTCCAGTAGTCACATTGAATACATTTAGTATCAGTTGAAATATCTTTCAATGACTGCAACTCTTCCTTTAGTTGTGACTCTTTCTTCATCAGTTTAGCTATCAGTATATCTTTATCGACAACTTGAACTTTGAGTTTTTTATTCTCTTCTACACAAAAGATAGTATCTTTTACATAATAAAGTTGTTTTACCATTAATTAAAGTTTTTTCATCTGTTAGTGTGGTTATGTAAGTTAGGCTATCAGCAACTCCAACTTCAAGTTTTTCAATCTTTCCTAATGAAAAGTAATGTACATGTATATACCATATGGAGCAATACTGATGATACAATTACCAAGTGACTTTTCGTTATTTTCTTCAAATAGTGATTTCTCTTTAGTCAGCATGGCTATACAAGCTTTAAGTTTCTCTGTCTCCTCTAGATATAGGTACATGTATGCAAAATACCCGTAATGAAAACTATGCATGACACTCCACTCAGGTAAGAGCTAATTTCTTACCCTTTGAAGGAAAAGTGCTGTAGTCAAATTGAATATCAGCATCTTTGACTGGTTCTTTCTCTTTTAATTGCTTCTCATTATCTTCTATACACAAAATAAAAATATATCTACTGCACTGATACTCGTACTAGCAGTTGTTATGTCTTTCTGCAACTCTTCCTCTAGTTCTGATTTCTCTTTCACTAGTTTGACAATTATGATTTCCCTTTCAACAACTTTAGTTTTAAGTTCTTCAATTTGTTCTAATGAAAAGTATGGATATGCAGCAATACCAATAGTCTTACTAGTTAAATTTTCATTCATAGACTTCAACTTTTTCTCTAATTGTAATTTCTTTCTAGTCAGCCGCTGAACTATATTAGTTTTAAAGTGTAACTGACATGATTTTTTGGGGTATTTTTTTTATTGACCTAACATGATCATATGATCATAAAAATGCTGTATGGAAAGTTTTATTCTCTGGAAAAAATTATTCACAGAGATATGAGCCTTCAAAGTTGCTCATTTTGCTTCCTGCCATTTTACATCCTGTCAGGGGGTGTGGCTAAACGTGATGTCATACAAGCATAGATATTAGAGTACAGAGGGATTGGAAAAGGGGTATCTCCGTATACATAGCTAGGATACGGATGCTAGTTGACATTTGCATCTAGCAACGCCTAGCAACGGAGGCTGTCTTTGAGCAAGAGCTGTCTTTTTGAGACCTGTCAATGCTGTCATTCCAGCAGTGGTGTCACTATACGTCATTATTTATATCAAAGGAAGCAGAGGAGACCGGCATCTATCCCCAGACTAATTTTTATGTTGCTAGCATCATCATTTGCACTGAATATTTGCTCTGGAATGAGAATGCTTAGAATGACATTTTGTTTTGTACCCTTATCTCAGTAGTGTTAGACAGAAAACAATAACTTATTCAACCACTCAATAGAGATTTATAATGTGGAGGTCGCCCACTATGTTTCGTTTGGAAATACGGTTGCATCTTTCTGTAACAATAGATTTACTGATTAGTTTGAGAGGTTTGTTTTGTACCCTTAACATAAAAACCAAAGGGTCTGTGACATTAGCTATCACACCATTGTATTGCTTAAAACACACAGGAGGTCGCCAACACCATTTCTATTCAATAGGTTGTACAAAACAAAAAATAGAACTAAATATAGTAAATGTGATCAATAATGATTGCTAATTCATAAAACACTGAATTTAAACTGCAAACAGATACATTGCTACAGCAGACAGCTTGGGCAAACAGGAAGAATGTCTCTAAACATTATTGAAGGGTTACCTGCACAAAATAAGACTTTATGCAACAAAAAACCACCTGAGAAGCTTGCTTACCTTTTTCAACTTCCAGCCATTTTAATTTTACATACAAGTATTTAGAGAAATTATTTACGGTACTATCAACTAGCATTTTCCTGTTGCTACGGCACA